GTCAGAGAGCTTCTCTGCAGCTGAGCATTGGGCACGATTGGATCCACAGAATAGAGGCCGATTGAGCATTCAGAAACAGTTTCCATTGAGGACTGAGTTCTAAGGACGAGTCAAAGATAGGACCAAAAATGTTTTCTAGCATCTCGCCGAAGTGGTTCAGCTGTCCGGTTGTTTTGTACCTTGGAGAGTCAGCGTCATTTTCACAAGGCCTTGTGACTTGTGACTCCCAGACACTTTCAGATCAAAGTTTCAAAATCGTCCAATATCTTTGAAGCAGCCAGTGCAGATTTTGTGCTGCTGTGTCACAAGGCAAACAAGCGTGGGATCTGGATCATCCAGCGGATGTTCTGGGACAGCAAGGGTTCGCCGTCGCCTACAGCAGCACGCCCCTTTGTGTATGATGCCTGCTGCCTTTTTTTGTCCAAACATGATCAGACATTTTGATTGCGAGCCTTTTCCGCGCCCCAGGACCCACTTGCTGAGGTTGTCCCATTCGGACTTCTTGCCTTTCAGAGACAGAGAGTCATCTTAAAAACAAACAGTGCACAAACTCTTCCCTTCACTGCATTGCTTGAGCATGTTCTGTCATTTCTGTCTGGTTGCGCCCATAGATGGACAGCCGCCATTCAGCATGTTGATATTTAGACTCTTCCAGGTCAGAGATGATTTCCTTGGCTCAGGAGCTTGCCCCATGATGAGTATGTTGACTGGTGGCTTGAAATACAGGAGCCGATTTCCTGAAATGGTTCACTTTGCTCGCGCAGAGTCGCATGGTATAATTGCAGTATGTTGCAGTCGTGTGGAGCGTGACTCGGATTCTTCAGGGCAACTGTCAATTCGGCAAAACCATAAGCCAAGTCTCCCTGGAGAGCTCAGCTAGGTATCTCCCGCCCATGGCATTGTCCTTGTACAAAGCTGCACTGGATCAAAGAGTTCAAGACCATTTCTGTAAACATCTGGTGCGCATCAAGCGCATTACCCACCTACATCTTTTAAAGCGATGCACAGAAAGTGTTTGAATAATGTGGAGACGCGGAGCTTTGGGACAGAAAGCTCAATGATCTCAATGCAAAGCAGCCAAGGTGCAGTTTTCAGAAAAATTGTCCGCAACTCGTTCTGCCCCATTGGTGAATACCTGAGCCCGATCAAACCCTGCAGGAAAAACATGCGGTCAAGCAGCCCGTCCACACACAAAGGTCGTTGAATTTAAATCCATTGTTGTTACCAGTAAAATATTGAAGTACATTGAAGTGACAACAACCAAATGAAATTTCGGCACATGTGTGCATCAAAGTCACTTGTTGTTGAAACGATCGAAACGATGCAAACAGCTTTTGTCGGCCCAAACTTGTAGCCGGTCGATGCAAAGATCTGTCCAGCCGATGCCCATATCCTTGATTGATTGACTGTTTGCGAAGATTTGAAGCTTCTGATGCTAATTGGGTTTGTTGGAAAATAGGCTCCCAGGCAAAATTCCACTGGTTTATCATGGTTTATCATGGTTTATCATGGTTCATCATCATCATCATCATCATCATAATCATTCTCATTAAATGGCTGTTTGGGGGATGTAGAACCCATTTTCAGACACTCCCAATTACTTCGCTGCAGGTATGCTAGTCCATTGCCCTGATTTGAGGGTTGTAGATTTTCGCTGCAGTTTGCAGTGCTCTTGGAACACCTCATGCCAGGTCTCGTCGAAGGTTTCCTGAAGCGTCCGTTTGCGGCCATCTTTTTCCTTAGAGAAGACGCAGCAGCTCTTTGAGACTGTAAAATTTGGAAATCAGTGCTCGAAAAATCCCAGCTCTTTGAAGTCCATTTCCACAATGCAACATGGGCAACATGACACAAATGCAGCGGGAGCGCGTCTATGATGTCCTCAGAGAAGCGCTTGAGCTTCTTCTTCATGAACCGCAGCAAGTGCTTAGCATTCATTGCCTCAGTCGTTGGTACGGAAGCAAAATGATCCAAAATGGATCTAGAAATGATATGATCGTAGACTGTCTGAACTTCAATGCAGACTGCAGATCTTGTTCTGCATTCTCAGGTCGAAGCTTCTGGTATCTGTCGCTTGATTCATTTGATAGAAGGCATTCAACTTTAACAGCACCAACGAACGAATACTTTGCGTACGTTGCAAAGTTATCTGACGAATTACGGTATACTGTACCAGTCTGTTCAAATCAAAGTGAACAGCGACACTGCTACTACCAGTTTGCAGCCCAGTCCACTGCAGAATGGTGGATGTGTGTATCTACCTTTCGGACATTGTAGAAATCCTCAGTGTTGATGACTTTGGGACTTGGATGTCCCAGGATCTGCCAATCAAATTACTGCATTAAAGGGGGAGGTTGAGACATGTGGAAAGCACAGGTGACACCGGTGTTTTTGTTGGAGAGGTTTAACCTGCTCTCAACAGATCCGAATTTCACCAAAAAAAAACGTCAGGAGCTGTTCTGCTAGTATCAGTCTTCACCAAACAGAAGGAACCTTTCACTGCATAGCCAGGTATTTCGTGGATCAGAAGGCGGGAGCACAAGCAAGTCCAGTCACGATAGTCCCATGTTCAAGTCTCCAAGCAACACGGGTTATCTACCTGTCTCGCAACACTCATCCGCAAATCATCTAAGGCAAGCAGGTGACGCGGTGCCCCGTATCCATAGCATCCTGTGCCTCCTGGTCACCAAAAACCTGAAATCCAGCGATCTCATGATGCAAACTAATTAAATTGTGATGCGTGATTCAACATTGGCAACAATCAGTCAACTTACACAAGTGCATGGCAGGCCCTCTTTGCAACCTGGAATCCATTGTGTACAGCTCGAACTTTGTCTGCAACAATCTAAGTCTCTGGTACGCATAGCTGGATACAGGTCCAGATGACCGGATATGAAAGAGCGTGTTCCTTGGAACCCACATGCCAGTTACTGCGTTGTCGTGGCACAAAAAATTAAGCAACATGTAGCATCATGCAACATCATTCATCAATTGTCAGCCGAGATGCATATCGTCATAGTACTCATCCAGGCTCGGGACGTGGAACAGTGAGGTCTCACTGTTTTTCTCTCCTTACATGGATGAATGCCGGTGAATGCTGTAGCAGGTCATGTTCATCACACAGGCAGCATGTACGACTCGAACAAAACAGGATATTCAAGTCAGGTTTCGGATTTGCATCAGCCCATCTTTCCAGCAAAGCTCCAATCTAGCTGAGCTTGGAAACGACGTCCTTGGATTGACATATTGCTAACAAATATATATATATATATATATGTATGTATGTATATATAATTACTAAGAAGATCTAAGAAGAGGTACAAAATGGCCAAAATGGTGCGGGACTAGTGCCAGAAGGTGGGCTGGCAACTACCAGTAGCGGCAGTAGCGGAGTGACTGGGCCACTGGGCCCCGCACTGCTTCTCTACCGATCCACAGTATTTCTCTCGTAGCTCCAGTGCCTGCCGCAGCTGTGCGCCTCGGAGACTGCAACGATCATTCTCCAGATGAAAAATATCTAAAAAATATATCAACTAATCAATTACTATCCTCAGTCTCAGTGACTTCAACACCAACCGGGAGATCGTTAGGCGGGGAAGTAAAGTGAAGAAAAGACTGAAAAAGGGTGTTCCATCTCTTTGAAACATGTTCACTGCAACCAGAGGTTTGCCCGCCACGGATTACCGCACATCCTTTGACATGCTCAAATCCTTCGTCAGGCCAGCAATTTTTAGTTTCCAAAGCGACAACCTCAAAAAATCTCAAAAACCTACAACCCTAAAACCCCAAATTCTTGAAGCCTGAAGTCAGAAATGTCAAAATCACTGCGTACAGTGTATTGTCAGTATTGTCCAATGGCTTTGTTCATCCCCTGGTGACAAGTGCATAAGATTGTTTGGGTGTAAGATTTCGGGGTGGGCAAAGGTCTGGGGTGGCACGAACATGTTTTCTACGCTGCAAGCAGGAACTAATCACAGAAAGGGTTGTTCCAAACATATTGAGAATTGTCTGGCCATCAGCCCGGCCCTACATGAAGCCTTGAGTGCGAGGTTGATCCCGTGTCCTTGAACATAAGAACCAAATACAGAGGGCCCAGGGACCTAGTTCCAAAGATGTCCAAAGTGTATAGAGATTAGGTATTTAAAGATTTTAAAGTGGTACGAGCTCTGCAGCCAATATCTTGTGATCAAGTTTCTATAAGTTTCTTGACTGCTTGTGTTGACTTTAGATGACTTTGGCAAAATCTCTAGCCGTGTTGTTTCTGGATGTTTCTACTCAGTCTATGTCAGTCTACGGTTGCTTACAGATGAACTGATCGTCCGTCTCTGCCAAGATTTGCCAGGTTTCTTGCTATACATGGCTACACCATTCCCAATCAACGAGTCTTTCAAGCGAAGCTGTCTCAGGCATGTTGCAGATCTCGTCTCTGCTGCTGTCACTCATGCCTGCTGAACACACGATGTGCGCGTTGGACAATGATTCAAAAATGTCAAGACCGCACATTCACCAGAAAAGCTGCTTTGAAATGCCATGACATGGCACCGGCCATCAAATTGCAGTGCTCAAACCAGAACCTGGACAGCTCAATTGCTGCCTCCAATCCGCTGCAAGCTCTAAACGACAATGAGCGGAATTGGTCCAAGAGTGTCAAGACTGAAATGGTGTTCACTTTCAAATGGAAAGTTGATTTGACCCCAAAGACTGTCAAAGACTTCTAAGTCGGAAACAAAACTGCTGTGATTTTCAGACTGCTGGCAAAAAGTGGCGAGTTTTGGAATTTCAAATGCTGGTTGCGTGGCTCGAGCCGAACGGGCTAAGAAAAGGGGGGCTAAGCCGAATTGCCCCATTTGGCCCATTGGCGGTGTCAAAGCGCGTGGTGTTGCATTTTGATCACAGTTAAAGAATGTTAAAGAAACGCAAATGAAATAAAGTTTAAATCAAATCGAATCATTTGTTATTAACTTAGATGATATCATCATATATCATCACTGTGCAGACTGGGCCTGAGATCGGAGTTCTTCTTGGAAGTCATTTTGCAGGCGTTCCTTCGGCAACCGAATCTCAGAGTTCGATCACATGCTGATCGCATGAGTGAACGTACTGTATGTACTTCTTTCAATGTGTGCAACCTTGATGCTGCGCATCTCTTCTTCGACATTCTCCTACCAGGAAAGATTGTATAAGACCAGCTGGGGCTGGCACAGCCAGAATGCGATAGCGGAAGATAGTGAATTAATCGACAGGATTATATACTGAAGTAATTTGGCCTTCCACGCTGCTTCTGTTGTGGCCCTTTCTTCTTGCTCCTGAAGGCAGGCAGTAAAGGATCAGCATCAGTCCTCATTCATTGATCTGGTATGATTTGGTCAGGTTGCTATACAGAATAGTTTCTGAAAGAAACATATTGTCATTCCACTGATCTTCGAATAGTGTTCGTGAAAACACTAGATCATCATACAAAATCAATGTGGGTTATAGGCATCCTTGAGCCGAAGCTCTTCATTTTCTTGAAAGCGTAGCTCCTTGGCTGGGCAAATGCCGCATTGAAAATATTGAAATGTTGAGTCAAGAATCGGGTCGAGCAGGTCTTCCACCCGCACTCTGAATCTAAGAGGTTTACTAAACCACGCAGATGCCACCGCTGCATGTCTTCCTTCGAGGACAGAAAGGAACCAAGCCCCGAAAGCCAAGTCCAAACACGATGAAACAACACACGCCTCATCATCTTCCCAGATTGAGCTGCTGATTGCGAAACCAATGCCTGCAAAGTGCAAGGCTATATTCAAAATATATCAAAATATGGATTCAACAAATCACTATGTGATCTACATATATCATCATAATTCATCATAATTCATCGTATATCTACATGACTTCATGCAGTTCTAAGCATATGCAGCATATTGCAGCATGATGCATGACTTCCCCCAACTTTTTTTTTTGCTCGGCATGGTGCATGACTCGAAAAGTGGTCGAGACATGTCAAAACGATTCGAGTTTTGCTCCAGTGACTCCAGTGGACTCCATGCCTTCACTCCAGGCCGTCAAACACAATGCCATCAATCTGCGACTACTTTGCCTAGCAAAGGTAGGAAACACGCAGTGGCAATAAATCTGAAATAATGAGCTAGAAACACTTCTTGGCTTTCATGGCTTTCAAGTAGCTTTCAAGACATTCTCTTTGACTCTAGGTTTGGAACCCAGCCTGAGACGAGTTTCAGCAAGAAGCAGTGCCTTATGTTGATGTGTTAGCCGCTAGCCAACTCTGAGGGGTGTATTGCTACAAGTTCGGTCCCTATATCGGTTTACTATGGTTTACTATGGTTTACAAAGGAATGCACTGCACTATCCTCGTTTTTCCTCCGACAGAAGGAACATGGTCAAGTCACTCCCTCGGAGCTCCGTGAAGGTGGCTCATCATCTCCTTGCAATGTCAACAGGCAAATGTGCGACTCAAAGGTGCTATCCGGACGCGTCAAAATGCATCAAATATACCATCAAATATCATCAAATATACCATCAAATAGATTCAAAAGGATTCGAATAGTCGATCAAAGACAAACAGATTTCCGAAATACCGCGTTGGTTGAAACTTGATTTTGCAGGGCCTAGCACGTACCAGGTCTGATCTGTGGACCTCAGGCTGAGCTCGACGTGTGTAGCTGAGGAAATTCGTATGCTAAAATGTTGAACAATGTTGGAAAAACATGAAGGCACGGTGCCCGAAAACCAAAAATTAAGACATGAAGTCGTGAGACATAAAACTGTGCGCAATTCACAAATTGAGATGCGTAAGCGGCGTAAGCTCTTCTCTACAAACGCACCATTCCGTGAACTTCAAAGAGTCTCTCAGTACGACGTTCGTCCAAGTGACATTGTGGCCGTGTGGCGATCCGATCGGCCCTGGTACGCTTCAAAAGTACTGTGATTTTTTGCACACTGATGTCACTGATGTAATGTAATCTTTAATCATGTCAGCGTTCCCACTCTGAAGTCAGGCCTTGAACTGCTTTCTTTCAGGGCCTCCGCCTTCTCTTCGTTCCTTCTCTTCTCTTCCTGCTCCTTCTGCTCCTTCTGGTCCTTCTGCTCCTTCTGCTCCTTCTCTTCTTCTCTCCTTGTCCTGCCTATCTGACAGATGTTCGCTCTGTAGGCTGGTCATTTCTCCATGGATCTTGCGTTCTTCTGTTCGGCTCTCTGAGAGCTCTGCTTCCTCTGCTTCAGTTATCGGTGAGTCAGACCATTCCATAGCTTGCACTGCAGAACTGTTACTTGGACCAATCTCTTGCCTGAGTATTGCAACATAAACGTCAAAAGAGCGAAGACCTTGCCCAGAAACTGAAAGGTGACCTTGTAGAGTGGGGCTGGACCCAAGTAGCGCCTCCTTGAGGCTCTAGGTTGGCAGCTTACAGGACTTGGAACTCATTTATTTGGCATGCTAGAGTGGGGATGGGGACAAGTTGCACTACCTTGGTGCTGTAGGTTGTCAACCTACAGGGCGTGGAACTGATTTGTTTGGCATTGTAGACTGGGGATGGGGACAAGTTGCACTACCTTGGTGCTGTAGGTTGTCAACCTACAGGGCGTGGAACTGATTTGTTTGGCATTGTAGACTGGGGATGGGGTCAAGTTGCACTACCTTGGTGCTGTAGGTTGTCAACCTACAGGGCGTGGAACTGATTTGTTTGGCATTGTAGACTGGGGCTGGACCCAAGTAGCGCCTCCTTGAGGCTCTAGGTTGGCAGCTTACAGGACTTGGAACTCATTTATTTGGCATGCTAGAGTGGGGATGGGGACAAGTTGCACTACCTTGGTGCTGTAGGTTGTCAACCTACAGGGCGTGGAACTGATTTGTTTGGCATTGTAGACTGGGGATGGGGACAAGTTGCACTACTTGCTGCTGTAGGTTGTCAACCTACAGGGCGTGGAACTGATTTGTTTGGCATTGTAGACTGGGGATGGGGTCAAGTTGCACTACCTTGGTGCTGTAGGTTGTCAACCTACAGGGCGTGGAACTGATTTGTTTGGCATTGTAGACTGGGGATGGGGACAAGTTGCACTACCTTGGTGCTGTAGGTTGTCAACCTACAGGGCGTGGAACTTATTTGTTTGGCATTGTAGACTGGGGATGGGGTCAAGTTGCACTTCCTTGTGGCCATAGGTTGTCAACCTACAGGGCTTGGAACTGATTTGTTTGGCATTGTAGAGTGGGAATGCAGCTAAGTTGCACTACGTTGGGGCTGCAGGTTGGGAACCGACAGGGCTTGGAACTGATTTATTTGGCATTGTAGAATCGGGAGGTGCTAAGTTGCACTACCTTTGACTGTAGGTTGGCAACCGACAGAGCTTGGAACTGGGGGTCGTCCTAGGTTGCATTACCTTAGGGGCTGTAGGTTGTCAACCTACAGGGCTTGGAACTGATTTGTTTGGCATTGTAGACTGGGGATGGGGACAAGTTGCACTACCTTGGTGCTGTAGGTTGGCAACCTACAGGGCGTGGAACTTATTTGTTTGGCATTGTAGACTGGGGATGGGGTCAAGTTGCACTTCCTTGTGGCCATAGGTTGTCAACCTACAGGGCTTGGAACTGATTTGTTTGGCATTGTAGAGTGGGAATGCAGCTAAGTTGCACTACGTTGGGGCTGCAGGTTGGGAACCGACAGGGCTTGGAACTGATTTATTTGGCATTGTAGAATCGGGAGGTGCTAAGTTGCACTACCTTTGGGCTGTAGGTTGGCAACCGACAGAGCTTGGAACTGATTAATTTGGCATTGTAGAATGGGGGTGGTGCTAAGTTGCATTACCTTAGGGGCTGTAGGTTGGCAACCGACAGAGCTTGGAACTGATTTATTTGGCATTGTAGAGTGGGGATGGGGCTAAGTTGCACTACCTTGGGGCAAGCTGCACTTCCTTGTGGCTGTAGGTTGTCAACCTACAGGGCTTGGAACTGATTTGTTTGGCATTGTAGAATGGGAATGGGGCTAAGTTGCACTACGTTGTGTTGGGGCTGTAGGTTGGCAAACAGCATGGCTTCGAGCTGAAATTGTGGCATTCTAGAGTGGGGCTGGAGCCAAGTTGCACCAAATTCGCACTGTAGGTTGGCAATCTACAGCGCTACTGCGCTACTGAAAAGCTGGCAGTGCAACTTCAAGTTGAGAAGTGAAAGGATTGAAGCGACTGCAAATAGAAAGAGGAGCAAACAACACTGGGAGAAAACTTGCAACTGAGCTGCATTGGGTTTGGTGATTCGCTTTCTCTCTGAACTGCTCCTGAGTCCTGCAGCAAAGAAACCCGGACCGGGACTTCCAGCGACCGCTCCAGTTTTTTGATCGTGCAATCGTGTGCAATTTGCAATTCACAGAAATGCTTCTCCAAATGCAGCAAAAGGACACATCAATTTTCATGTCTCACTGCTCCTGATTCTCTTGTATCGGGTTGTCAGTGGTAGGATGCTCCTCTCCAAATGTGTCACCTTCTAGCGGCTCTTGCACCGGCCTGATCTGCGAGGGCAACAAGTGCATAGCAACACCATCTTCCTTCAAGGTCCCTTTATAGTAGGATTCTGTGACAATAATAAAGGCCTTCCACACCTACAACTTTTCAAGTTTGCAAAAACAAAGCATTGGGTCTGGCGCCAAAGCTGTGCCAAAGCACTGTGCCCATCTTTGCCAAATTCTTTTTGTTCAGCTCCAGGCATGCTAAACTCCGGCGCTCGTCCTAATTGCTCCTGGGCTTCCCCCATCTCCAAGTGCACTGACCTCTGGCGTTGAAAGAGCTCAACTTTGCAAAGATGAAGAGTGGGGGTCATTGGGTCATATCTAGCACAAGACAGCAGAGACTGGTTCATTAGTCTACAAACCTGTACATATACAAATTCTAATGTGGTTTTACAAAATGATATATATATATATACAGTATACATATAATATATATTTATAAAAATATTATGGGTTTACGGTTTACGTGTATGTCTAATAATATTATATTCTTATACCATCTTATGCCATTTACTACTGTGATATACTGTAATATTGCATGATTACTTTTAAAGAGTACGTATATATACATAGTATACAGGTATTGTGTAGTGTTCAGCGGCCCTTGCTGTCGATATGACATCAAGCCAAGTGTCGGAAGTGGCTGTTCCAGTTCCTCGGGGATCTCCCTTTGCTCTGACGTTGTAGTTGCTGCGGGTTCGTCTGGCCTGAGCGCAACCAACACTCTAAATGTCTCGCCGAAGGTCAATATCTGGGGATGTTGTAGCAACCAAAATCAACAGCATTTCTTCAACTGCTTCAGCACTCTTTTTGCCAAGTCTTGCGATTGTCTACGTTGCTCTGCTAAATGTGCAAGGACGAAAGAACAAGTACAGGAGAACAGTACAATGGATGAATCTCACATCGTGAGGATGGCCCTTGCCCACACCAAAATCAGGACAGACGCGCTCTGTCGAAACTGGCGCAGTCTGCGGAAAATTGGTTTCGGTTTTCTTTCAGGGGACCGCGGGCACACTTCAGGCATACAGGTTCTCTGACAAACCGAGGATCTCCACAATGCGACCTAAGGTCTTGGTGGCCTTGTCAGCTAAGCTCTTGGACCGCAACAAATAGTCCTCTGTTCGATCTCGGCCGCCACCAGGATTGGCCTCTGCCCAAGATGAAGAGTACGCCCATTCATCGGCCTGTCTTTTGAAAGCTTCAAAGTCCTCTACCAAATCACCATACTCGTCTTCAGATTTGGACGGCACCATTCCAGCCAGCTCCATGTTGACTAGCAAGTCTTTCGTGTTGAAGAGATCAGCTTTGATGGAGGTCTGGCCCAAGTATTTTCGGACCACCAGTGGATTCGCAATGCAACCGTCTGGAGAGGCCTGTCCTGACTGCAAAGCTCTCTGAATGTTCTCCTGATTTTTTTCGCACTTTCTGGTGACAGTGTTGAAGTTCTTCATCATGTAGACCAGCTCTTTGTAGCCTCGTGTCAATCTCTCCTTGTCGGCTTGTGTCACCTCCACTGCGGCTTTCGCATCTTGGGAGGTGCCAAGAATGAGGCCGCTGGCTAGGAACCCCACATGTCTTCTGGACAGACCTTGCGCTACAAAGGAAGGTGCCAAACCCAGTGCCACAGCACAGAGCACCAAAGCCCCTCTGCTTCGCAAAGGCCGTCCCGCCATGAGCTCAGGGGTCGAGAATTCTCACCTGTTTTTCTTCTTGTTACCATTGAAGCCGCAATGCTGTTGTGTTATGTTGTGTTTACTTCAATCAATGTGTTTTCTTGCATCATTCCGAAGGCGTGTCAACGAAAAGAGTTGAGGCATGTTTTAATATGTTTTAATTGTGCTTGCTTTGGAATGAGCCACTAGCACCTTCAACAAACAGGAAAAGGTCTACTGTTTGCACTTGCACCACCTTCAGGATCCAAATGACCTGGGAATCACTTGGCGATTCAACCAATGAATCCAACTGGAACGGTCATTGTTCGCCGCTAAACTGAGGCGCGCTGCGGTCTTTCCTCACTTTGGGAGCCACGCAGGCTCCGCAAGCTGCGTCGCCGCAGCCCAAGCTGCCGGTATCTCTCACCTCGCCAACTAAAAGAGGTCAAGTCTGCAAGTTCCAGCTAGTCTGATCCAGCCTGATCCAGTCTGATGAAATTATGTCCAGCGGAGTCCAGCTATGTCCAGCTAGCTAATAACTTTAAATAACTTTAACTGTGCCAAAAACTTGGGCACCTTATGGTTGCCCATTACTGACATTCTCCAGCCAACAGTCTCCATTGGATCCAATGGTCAGTTTTAGCCCTGCGCTGCCAAGTACTGTGGCGGCGGAGGAGCGCCGAGGCTCGTGCGCCTGCCATAAAATGCAGTGCTGTTGCTATATGATCGTTATTGCTAATGTTGTCAAATGATATCAAACGTCTGCAGTGTCTGCAGCTCTGTAAAAAAAAGGAATTGGTCACCTGCAGAAATGTGGTAAGTCGCCCCCCCACCTGTGCCACAGCATGCCGCCACGCACGAAACGCGCGTGCAGCGGTGCGCAGGACCGCTTCATCCCACAAGTCTGTCTCTGCAGCGCCCAGCATTCCTTCCTTTTCAGTGGCCCAGACCTGGCAAAACTCCTGACCGATCTGACTGCAAACAGGCTTCAATGAAATATTGGGAGCCATAAATCCATAAGTTATAACTTATAAGGAAAAAATCGCAAATGTAGTGTGCTTAATTATTCTTATGTACCAGTAGTACCGCACAAGGCGGTGGCGGAAGTTTCAGAATAGGAAACCTATAGGAGACGTTGGTTGTTGTGAATCACGGATGGCAGAGCGAATCCACTGATTGACCGAAAGGTGGTTGGGGTTGTGTTTGCTGGAATGGTTGCAATGGTTGCAGTGGTCACCTCACCCACAACTGCTGGATGTAGTGTGATGTACTGCAACTGTAGTTGTAGTTGTAGGGTAGTGGAGTTGTAGTTGTGGTGTAATGTAATTAGTGTAGTGTAGTTGCAGTCATATAGTTGTAGCTGTAGTTGTTTTGTAGTTGTAGTTGTAGTTGTTGTAGTTGTAGTTGTAGTTGTAGTTGTTGTTGCTGTTGTTGTTGTAGTTGTAGTTGTAGTTGTAGTTGTTGTTGTTGTTGTTGTTGTAGTTGCTGTTGCTGTTGCTGTTGCTGTTGTTGTTGTTGTTAAGTTAGTGAAGTTAGTGAAGTTAGTGAAGTTAGTGAAGTTAGTGAAGTTAGTGAAGTTAGTGAAGTTAGTGAGTTAGTTAAGTTAGTTAAGTTAGTTAAGTTAGTCAAGTTAGTTAAGTTAATCAGTGTCTACTTTTTCGACATCTTCACGTCAAAAAAGGCTCAAAACCCGCAGTTTTTTACACTTTTAACTTCCAAATATGCTTCGCGCCACAACGGCGTGCACTTTTTCGAAACTCCACATCTCAGCCTCCAAAAGTGCTCCGAACCCCTGGTGTTTTTAACATTTTGACTTCCAAATGTGCTTCGCGCCACAACGGCGTGCACTTTTTCGACATCGCAACTTCCAAAAGTGGTCCGACATTGGTGTGTTTTGTACATTTTGCCTTCCAAATGTGCTTCGCGCCACAACGGCGTGCACTTTTTCGACATCGCAACTTCCAAAAGTGGTCCGACATTGGTGTGTTTTGTACATTTTGCCTTCCAAATGTGCTTCGCGCCACAACGGCGTGCACTTTTTCGACATCTCAACTTCCAAAAGTGGTCCGAGAATGGTGTGTTTTGTACATTTTGACTTCGAAATGTGCTTCGCGCCACAACTGCGTGCACTTTTTCGACATCGCAACTTCCAAAAGTGGTCCGAGAATGGTGTGCTTTGTACATTTTGACTTCGAAATGTGCTTCGCGCCACAACGGCGTGCACTTTTTCGACATCGCAACTTCCAAAAGTGGTCCGCTCCTCTAGTGTTTTGTCCATTTTGACTTGGAAATGTGCTTCGCGCCACAACGGCGTGCACTTTTTCATGTCTCATCTGACCAGCTGGCTCCGCACCCGCCGCTTTAGCGAGCCTACTTTCCTACCCTCCGGAGCCCCAAATCATTGGAAAAACACAGTGTTTCGAGACTTTCCTACCTTTTCGCGCATCTGCATCTTCTTTCTTCTGACTCTTTCTCTTCTACTCTTCTCTCTTCTAATCTTTCTCTTCTCTCTGCCTCTTCCCTACTCTGCTTTTCATCTGTCCATATTGTCGGAAGTTTAGCTTCTAAACTTCCTTCGATTAATGTATTCTTCGACCTTTTTTGCATTTCACTGGCTCCCTTTCTCAAAGTGATTGCGCTGGTTGTTGCTACTGAGGACCCCAAAACACGCAAGCAACACCGGCTCTGCGGAGCTGGGTCGTGTCTCAGGCACCTGCTGGAAACGGACGAAAATTGGGCACCAAGCCACCAAGCACACCACAAGACAGGTTACTTGCTGGCATTTTAAATGTCTCCAGTGCTGAACCATCCCCAATTTTGGATAGAAATGGACAACTTGAGCGCACATGACCTCACTTGTAGCTACCTGAAGGGAAATAAACTTTGGCCAGAAAGGGTATCGTCGGTATCATCTCATTCGATTCCTGATAACATGATCACCTTTCAACCAACAGCACGTGCTTGCCTCGCTAGCCCTCCACTGCAGCTTTGGCAGGTCATGGTGCTAGGATCACAGATCTGAGTGATTTGATTCCGCAAGACTTGGCTTAGTGGAGAGATAAAGACTTTTGATGACTTTTGGATATCCCAGTCGAATCCCAGTCCCGCCAGTCCCAATCTCAGCTGTTTGAGACTATGCGTTTGCTCCATTGTTTGACACTTAGACTTTGGCGGCTAAAGCCAGAAGCTTGGCATGCACGCAGGTTCATCATATCATAAATGTCCAGTGTGCACTTCACATCATTTCACAATCATTTCACATCATGGTGGATGTTTCATAGTGCCGGGCCATCCAATGTCCCTTTTGATCCTTTGTCTCTGGACGTCCCGACACGCGGGACATAGGTGCTAGCCTCATCCTTTGCGGATGCTAGAGTGGCAGGGCCAATTGATTCAGCTCGGGCATCAGAGGTTGAGGAGTGTCGGCGGCCTCCCGGAACTGCGACTGTAAGAGCTTCTGGAGCGAAAGGGAACCCAAATAGTTCAAACTGTTGCGTGTGCGACATCTCGACTTCTGAGACTGTACTGTAACTGTAAGAAATCAATATGCATCTACGAATCTACGATACATTCCCTGCCTGACAAGCCAAATGAGTGGCACTCCACAAATTTACTTTTTCTCTCCTGGCCAAGATGCATCGAAAGACATTTGTTTGGATGGAACTCTATTGTGGGAATGTCAATTCATTTCCATAGCATGCCTTCTGCCAGGTGCGGACAGTGTGAACCCAAGACAGCATCTTTAAATCTAAGTCAGACTTTGAGGCCCACAATGTAAATGCAAGCTGGAGCGGCTTGTTGGGGAAGTCAATCTCTGCAGCAAACAGCTGCAAAGCACCGTGCCAGTTCCTGTCCAGGTTTCCAAAGCAAACTGTGCACTGCCACAGCAGCCGCACCGGCTTGGTTTGCCCAGGTTTGCTTCCGTAGCTACATGTAGCTATGTCGTATCATCATGTATCATCCGTATCTATGCTTGCGCTCCAGGCTTTCTACCCGTTCCTGCCAATTGCACATGCACGGACTGCACAACCGATCGAAGCAAGCTCAGCTTCACCTGCAAGGGCCGCAATGGCTGCAAGGGCTCAAGGAACGTGCAGCCACCCAGCCCGACAGGGAATGATTGTCTACTTAAGTTACTTAAGCTCAGTTGGTTTTGTACCTGGTAGTAAAGCCAAGCACTGTTCCCAGGTGCTGGGTTGCAAAGCGGCAAACATGGCCTTGGAGTTGTTGCTGCATCAGAACTGACCGCACTTGAGGCGACTTGGAAGCAAAATCAGAGTGGTCATGTGTGTGATACTCTGTGCTGACCAACAAGACGTGTGCCAGAATAAGGGCCATGCTGTTGATTGCGCATCTTGCAGCCAATGTTTGGCCTGCCATTTTCAGGAAGGTTGAGGGCAGTAGGGAGTTCACAGAAACATTGGTGGATGTAGATTCTTGCTAATTACAGATTCTGTGACATGCTCAGACATTCCCTGCCACACGGAAGAACGTGGTACTGTACCAATCGATCAACAGAGATAGCATGAACCTAATTATTATAATGTGTTGTTCATCATTTTGTTCGACGCCGCCGCTCTCGCGCTCATTGCCGTCAGCATCTTCACCGTTGTCAACATCATCATCATCATCATCATCATCATCATCATCATCATCATCATCAGCAGCAGCAGCAGCATCAGCATCATCATCATCGTCATCGTCGTCATCATCATCATCATCATCATCATCATCCTCATCATCATCACCATCATCAATAATAATAATCATCATCACCACCATCATCACCACCACCAGCAACACCTGCATCACCAGCATCATCACCACCACCATCCTCACCTTCTTCCCGCAGGTCTCCCCAAAAATCCCAAGCGTAAAGCAATCGCTTTGTCACACTGTTTCAGCATTCCGAGCCTGTGCTCGTGGCACCAGCAGTTCAATCTGCCAGCAGGCACACTTTGGCTCAAACACAATCCAGGTCTTGTGCCATTGAATGCAATTTTGTCTGCAAACATGTGTAAACGATGCAAAACTGACAGCGCATGCCGCATACCCAATCAGCTTACCGATCTTTGCCATATATTTTGTGGGATTCACATGGCGTAAGATGAAAAAACATGAAAAAAACACTATACATTTGTTGTCAATCCTCATCCTGGCCTGCAACAATCTCTCCATGGCCTGCTGCCAGTCCCGGGACTCTGCGTAGGCACCGAGACCAGCACAGAGTACCTGCTTAGCTGCAAAACACAGCACCCCGCAGTAGCCGCAGTATGCAAGGAACTTAAGGAACTTCAAGCATTCTTTGCTAATGACTAATGACTAATCATCTCTGACTAAACAGTTGTGTGTTGAAATTATTCTCCTAGTATGTCCCTAACATGTCCTAACAAATCTGACGATGTGGGACCTTTCCATCACATAAAACCTGCTATTTGCAAACAAAACAGTCAAAACTACTCAAAACACTGAGTCACTTAGTCCAGTAAAAGCAGGGATTGGTATTGACGTTGGAGGTCTAAAATGATAAGCCTGACAAGCCCAGGCGCTGAGATGGCATCATCTGGTTTGTAATCCGGCCTGCAGAAACAAAGCTTCAAATCATCCAAATAAATGGAGCCAGACATGACCAAACGAATCATGGGGGTTGTCCAAGATTATGGTACCCGAAAACCGCGCATTCGCGAACCTTTCGCGCCCTTTCGCGCCCTAGCAGAATTGGGATATGGGATTATGATCGGGGTTTTCGTCTATTTACAGGTTTATAAATAGTGGTATTCAGACCTTTCGCGAACCTTACGCCGCCCTTTCGCGGCCTTTCGCCACTGCAGCAAAACATACACATCCATATCATCTGCAGATGTCACTCGGATACAGCGTTGCTTGGGTTTTAGGACGAGTTCAGTGAATGTCTCTGCCTCAATGCCTTCTCCAAGAGCTTCAATGACAGATCCTCAGCTAAACAAGTCCTCGAAAAATGGTTCATGTGTATCCAATCTGCACCCCTATCGTCTTCGAATGTCTTCAAATATCCTGAATATCTTCAAGTCTGTGCCAGGGATGTGTACAACATTGTACAACGGCAATATGCTGAGGCCAGAACCCACCGACCTGCCTGGCGACCAAGCATGCAGGATGTGAATTGCATGTTGGGAAGGCGACTGAGGTGTTCTGGCCTTGTTGCATGCCAGCATTGTAGAACTGTACCTGGGAGCGAACCATGAAAACATGCAACTTGTCGGGGCACACTGGTAGACCATGATAATTTGATGTTACAATATGTTACACCATGTTACACCTCTCTGCAACCGACACTTCACCCTCTCATTCACAAGTAAGCAATCTTGCTGTCCCAAGAATGAAGCTGAGTGTACACGCCACGCCAGCGAGGAAGCTGAGTGTGCGAACCGCGCATGGACAGCCCTTTTCATTGTCGTGCAGCGTTCGGAAGGTCTTTTCTTGATGGCAAAAAGCACACCATTGAGGTGTGACTCGTCAAGTCTATCTAAATCAATGATTGTGTAATGCAACATCATACCGCAGGTCTTCCGGCTTCAGCTTGAACACATCTTTACATCTGATCTCTACCAGATTCAGCTGGAAGATCTGCTAAAGAAAACTGTGTAACTGTACAACTTTGTTGACTCTACTCTTAAAATCCTTTTTTAAATCTTCCTGAACATAGCCAGGTACACTGGCGGAGTCAGGTTGACATCACGGCAAGGGACTGCACAGCTTGACGCTTTTCATTCAGCCCCTTGAAATCGAGGAAGAGACTTCTCTCGCACCCACACCTGAACTGCCACAGATTCATGGTCACATCTCCAAATAATTGACTGAACTTGAAAATGTTTGAATAAATACGTCTTAGGAGAGCACAAAGCAAACCGCATGGCTTCATGCAAACGTTGGACAGCCGGCTGCAGTTCTGTTGAGTGAAAGAGTCAGAACTCCCGTCTTGTCCAAGTCGCGTTGACTGCGTACTTCTCTGTCTCACACAGTACTGGCCTCTCGAAAGCAAATAAGAAAAATTGAAACGACACAAAGCTAAGAAAGCCACTTTCATGACAGCAAAATACTAAACATTACTGTACATTACTGAAAAAATATTTAGTCGCTGTATAAAGCAGAATATTACGATTCTCTTGCAGGCAAAGCACATGGCTCTGTGTTCTACCAGGTCCTGAGGCTGTCCATCTCTATCAACCTCAGCCAGGAATCTCTCCAGCCGACCCAGTGCCACCGTTTGTTGGTGCAGTCTGGTAACATTTGACCAAACGAGTGCAGACCCGGCGTGTGGCGAGACCTTGATTCCGAGCCTCCAAATCAAGGCACTGCACTGCTGATTTCTGTCTGAAGCAACATGTTTGCCACCGCGGTAGAAAACAACAAATCATGACAGGTGACTGCAGCCTATTGTAACTGAGGACAAACAGCTCCATTTATGACTCGTACCTCTCAAAAGAGGTTTCGCCGCCGCAGTCCTCCCAAAGTGTATTCAAATAGATCCTTGGTGTACCACAGCAGACTACATTGATAAGACACTGAGATGCTCAACAAAAATGATCTGCTTCATCTGCACCCAATCTGAACCTCTGGCCAAGTTGCAACGCCGTTGCGGTCCGTTGGCCGCCCAACCAAAGGCTCGCATCCTGCTTCCGGCCCCAGTCGACGTGAGCACCTGACCACACCGAACCGGATAACTTGCAGAACAACTCATTGCACGGCTTGTAGTAAGGAAAAATTACATAAAATGTCATAAAATGACTATTTAAGTTTGTATCCCATCCTGTCGAATTTGAGCACCGAGCTGTATTGCTCGCCCTTGCGATAGCGCACAAGTTGGAGTGCTTCCACGGTATCCTTTGTCAACTCTGCCAGGGCTGAAGGCAGTTTGGACTCTTTGGACACGGAACTTTTGTGTTTGACTTGCAACTTGTAGAGCATTGTAAAGCTTTAAAGCATTGTAAAGCAAGTCTGACTTAAGCCATCTAAAAACCTGACTGTCTCATCTGTCTCGAAGTAAGCATGTTGATGCAGGTCGTCTCCATACACTTGCTTCAGCAAGAACCGTTCGGAGAGTCCTCTGGAACATTTAATGCTTTTGAAGTCCACGCTCTCACTGCCTGTCAACTGGTTCCCCAACAGGCCGTACCAGTCAATGACTCTAGTTGACTCTGACTGATTCTAGCCACTCACACAGGATTCATGTTTCTCACATAAGCAGCATCCAGCACGTCCATTCCGAAAGCTTTGGACTTTCAATGCTCTGGAGGATTGTGGAGGGCACACCTTCACAGCTGGCTGCTGCGTCATCCTCTGAGCGCCAAGAACTGCCTCGGCGAGTTTTTACAGCGACGTGCACAAATAAGGGGGCCTACATACAAGATTCATGTTCACAATGTCATAGGGAAATACTGGTACTGTGAAAAATGATGAAATAATTTGAAATGACTTCAAATAAAGATATTATATATATATTATGATTATATTAATTATTAATGTGTATATAAAGGCCCTCTCATGCAGCTATGGGGCTGAAGACGATGTGCGTAGTGCATCCTGCCCAAGGAGTGTCTTGTCTGTGGTGATGCACCAGTGACATCCTTTCACATCCTTTCACAGCAGTTTGATGTCCTCGCCACCAGCAGTGCGAGCCCCGCGGCGGCTGGACTGCCACCAAATATTAGCATCATCAGCTATCTGAATAAGCTCCTGTCCAAACAAAGAATGCAAGTTAGCCACGGCATAGACTTTGGATGTGTGATACTCCGCTGGAAGAAAACCTGATGCTCTGGTGACTCTAGCGCTTTGCGTGGCAGCACACTTCTCTCTAGCAGAAGTTCAAGTTCCACTTGTCGCCTGACTCTGCTGCGCAGTGATCACATTGGGCACTAGGACAATTGGAGGACTATCGAGTAAATGCTCACCGTCGAGTTTGCGGATCGCCTTCAACGGCAAGAATTGACATTGAGGATTGTTCACTTGGGTGTAGATAATGGAAAATTGACAAAACCAGGGCCTCCAGCATGCTGGTCGATGCTTTCCTTGGGAACATTGGGTTGAGCAGCTATCATGATGAAAGGACGATGCCATCATCAAACAATGAAGCACAGAAATAGCATGCGTGTGCTTACAGATCAGCTAAGTCGTCCTACCCAAGAACAACATAGAACAACATTAAAATGGAACTGCTTCAGAAACAAAATAAACAAACGCTTCTGACACTGCTTCCAGCGAGAATTGTTGGCTGTCCAAAGCTCGCAGATGCCACCTCGCTCGCCTTACCAAAAAGTTCAGTCCTTGGCTCTGCTTCTTGCGCCTATGACGCCTATGTATGCCTATGTATCATTTCAATTCATTTCATCATTTCATCATTTCAATGAATCGTGAACTGCGCAAATCTGGGCCAAGAAGCGCATGGCCCACCTCCGCACAAGACCTTGGTCATTTGGACGGAAACCATGAGCAGCTATCCTGTCATGGGGTGCGATGCTGTACCGTACCCAAAGATCTTCAACATTTGTGCTCATCCTTCCAATCTGTTTATCAAGCTGCCAGGCAAAGGTCGTTCTTTCATCGGCAGACAACTCATTGTGTTTACCTCAGTGAGAATGTTGGCATGGCATGCTTCTTCAATCAAAACCAAGAACAAATTGCTTAGCCAAGTTGACCAAGTGTTCATTCCCATCCAAGTCACTTGCCATTGCAGATTTGAGTGCTTGCCAAAGATCTTGCCTTAGCAGATTCAACGATCCTAAAAGTATCTAAAAGATTCTAAAAGTATCTAAAAATCAGCTAGCTGAAGTCACACTTTCTTTGGCCCATGGATTTTGCGGCCAAGACACCGTGGTTCCCCCGCCGTCGCAAACGACCAAGCGAACGCGACCAGCTGCGAAGCCGATGCCAGGCTGCACGCCTCTTGGCTTTGTCTCAACATGGATACCTCAAAATTGCCTTTTCTTGTTCAAGGGTAATATGTGTCGTTAAATATACGTATGTCAATATGTTGATGGGGAAAATATGAAAATATGGGAAGATGGTGACAAATTTGGGGAGTTCCCAGTTTTGAGACAACCCAGACTACATGTTGATCCAAAGCCTTGAAATCGAAATTGCAAAATGTTCGTTCGCTGTTGTAAGTTGAGCTTGAGTTTGAGGGTATAAATGTTGATTTTCGGCAGCATGGCGTCCATCATTTTAGATTTGAGAGCACCCAACCTTGTTCAAAGAAGTGTAGGTCAATTTGGTGCACTTTCTTTTCCTTGCATACCTCTATCCTCGTTACGCACTAAATTAGTTAAGCAACGCTCCAAGGTCACGGAAACTGTTCACGCACTTGTCTCCCCTCGTACCTCCGCTATGGTGTCAGCCATCTTCTGCCAGGCTGGTTCATGTGGCAGCCTAAACGAGCATTTCTTGAGTGACAGCCAAGTTTCATGCACTTTTCCATCTTAGATTCCATAGAGGTCCAAAATTGAAGCAATCAAACCTCGGGCCTGGCTATGGCCATGGTTGTGATAAGAGCAGCCAATGCTTCCGTGTCCTTCTGCATATCCTGAAGCACGGCTTGAAGCTATGATTCGAATGATGACCTAGAGGACTAGGGCATCGAGGACGATAAAACTGTTTTAAAACTCTGCTGAGTGTCCATCTGAGGCCATCTTGCAGTCAAACGGCTGGTAGGACACTCAGCAGCTCCCTCTGCAAGATGGGCTCCCGCATGGGCTTTGCGCTCTGCGAGCATCAAGTGTTTGCTGTCGTCATATTCACAGCAATGATGCTTAGAGATATGCTTAGTGTCATGCTACAAACCCAGAAGACTAGATCGCAACTCCAACACAGCTTCAAAGAATTTCAAAGATCTCATGCGCCAATGCGCCACTTTCAATATTTCTTTCAAGCTGGTCAGGTGACCTCCGGAGCGAAGATGCGAAAGACCTCTGTCAGCAGTGTACGGTCAATCTCTGGGGAGAGGAAGTTGCGATCGCACAGCTCGCTCCTCTGCATCTGGGGCAGTTGGTGGACAACATGCAAAATCACCCAATAGGAAAAAAATAGTACTTTGCTAGAGTATCTACTGGACAAAGCATTTTTGCTGAGGTTCAAGAAGCATCAAGAAGCTGTGTACCAAATAGCACCAGACCTCAAGTGCTGAACTGCCAGCTTTGCTCGCGACACTCGCTCCTGTTTGAAGCGGCAGATTCACTTGCAAAGTTTGTCTAGCTCCTCTACTGCCCAGTTGCCATCACTTCAACGACTAATCCAAAATATATTGACCAAAGAATGCCAAAGATGTCAGGCAGGATTAATTATGTGGCCTATGTGGCCACATGCCAGGACTATCCACCAGAGGTGTCCTGTTCAGGACCGGTCCTGCGCTGCTTTGAGCTTCTCTTCCATCATGTCCACTTCGATGCCGGCCGACCTCCAGAGATCTCCAGAGCTGAATCCCCACTCCAAAGAGTTCCAAAGCGATCTGCCGGAGTTGGACAAACGGACAATGTGACACTGTGACAGGTCTGGCAACTGAAGCCTCAAGGTTCGCCGACTTGCGCTTCGTGCAGGCCTGGGAACGAGATCGTGACCCTTGTGTAGACAGTGTAGAATTGCGTCGCCCAAAAAGGACATTTACTGCGGATTGCGTGGCAAACTGCTGGCGTTACGAGGATTTCGCCGTGAAGATTGAGCCCATGCTACATCTGCCGCCAACCTCAAACATCAAACAGTGCTGGTCACCGCTTGCATCCAACCGTTGCAAAAGATGCTTTTCCAACATCGGAAACAGCCCTGCTCGAAAACGGCGCCGGCAAAAAAGTGCTTCTTAGATTGTACAAAACTTGTGGGCCTTCCACTTATTGAAATCAAAGAACTGAGCATCTTTTCGAAGGTGCTAATTCAATCCCAAGAACGGAGCCTGCCCATCAGCAAGATTGCAGCGGTCAATGCAAGCAGCCTTTGACTGCCATGCCTCCCAGTGACTGAGACAAAGTCACTGCCAACGAACGTCTCAAAGAGAATGACAAAGCACGGAGAGAAACAAACAAACCAAGCTCCTCTGGCGCTGAAGCCCGTGAAGCGGCATAGCAAAAAGGAATGAATTGCATTGTACAATTGCACTTTCACTTGAACAGTTTCAACAGAGATCATTAGTGGGTTAATATGGACTCTTGTCAGAAATTGACTGGATTCTTCAAAAACAGGTTGTACAGCCATCCTTTCATCTTGATTCAAGGTTTTGGTCACTGCGCACTTGGGAGTTGTCTGCTACGATCCAGGTCTGGCCACTTTTCTATATGATCGCTAGCTAGTTGTGCGACTGGCTGTTCTCTAGCTTCATCAGACTGCAAAAGCTGCGTCGAGACAACGATTGATAGACCATCGGCTTTCACAAGGGCAGGCAACAGGTCACTAATTTGCATTTTTTTCTTCCAGTGCCCGACAACGACTATGTATGATTTACTGTACTGGGGTTCTGCACTTTGCCCTTGTGAGCAACAACTGGCAGAAACATGTATTTGAGGTTCAATAATCGTCCCCTCAGCGAATTCCGCACAATCCATGTAGTCTTTGTTGTTTCCCACTCAAGATCCCAACATTCGCCCCTAGAATCTCCAGGCTAATTCCACGAGGTTCAATCATGTTGTCTGACTGCCTAACGTCCCAGCAGAGTTCTCCTCGTCCCGAAGCTGAGCGTCGCACGCAACAGAGTCAGGAGTTATCAAATCTTCAAGCATAGCAGCCTCAGAGAAGACATGAGACATTAGCTGCTGCAACCTCTGCCAAACAAGCAGTAGCTGCTCAGTAGCAGTAAATGAGAACAGCATGGCACCGCTTCTGAACACCTGTTTGACTTTCCTCCTGCGATTCGTACACTCTGAAATGATTGAAATGCTGTCACCCAAATGATTCCAAACATACTTACGACCGACTAGAAAGGGGAAAAAAAATAAGAACTTAGTTGAACTTAGCACAACACTTCTGTACAATTCTTAAGCACTTGGATTGTATAAGGGCAATTGACCAGGAAACACCAAGAAGGCATTTTTCAGGCATTGCTGTGAAGCTTTCCCTATGCTAAGTCCCTATGCGGGCACTGAAAATAGATCTCGTCAGGCGGCTAAAATGCTCAAGGCATCCTGCCACTGAAAGCTACGCTCACCTCATGTCATGACATCCGCTGTGAAAGGACAATAAGGATCAATAAGGAACATCAGTGACATCACCAAGAGTGAGTGTTGAACCAATTAGACAGCTTTTTTTGCGCACTGAGAAAAAACAACACAAAAAGTAAACTTAACTGAAACTTAAATCTCAGCAAACAGTGAAGATAATGGGTTTGAGTATCCACTGTCCACTCAAATTTGAAGGCTCTTACAATAGTCCCTTTTCAGAACAGAATTGCTTATGCTGTCACAGGATCACCCTCTCCGTTTCAGATATAAGCTTTGCACACGCACTGATGGCGGTACTTCTAAGCACCATGTCTGGTGTTGCAGAGTCCTTTCAAGTGGCTTTGCAGGAATCTAAGCAACAGCTTGATGAAACTTGCAATCGAAAGAGCAAGGAGTGAACATATCAGTGAAGACTGAAGCTGCTGTGAGACTCACAAAACAAGAAGGCCCTGAATAACTATATTATTTATATTGTACAGGTAGTGTACTGATCGTTCCCTGTATCTGACACTTTATCTTTCGAAAAATTCAGCTCAAGTGCCTGGTCCAGCTGGCGCAATAGCTCAAGGCAGATCTCCCAGCGCTGTCCCTGCAACTGAAAATGGTGCGCCATGGTGCCCCATGGTGCCCCATGGTGCCCCATATTTCTGGCGATCCTTGCATTGTCATCTTGTCATCCCTCCCCGATGCCAACCTTTGCACATGCGCTTGTTACGGTGGCGTAGTGGATGAGGTTTGGCCTGAGGGCATCATAGACACTGCGATGCAGTCATAATTTACAATACATCAATTCTTCATCAATTTGCATCTGTTGACCGATTGACCGAAACTTGGAGCATCTTGGAGCTCAACGGTCTTCGCCGTTCCTGACACATCGCAAGGGGAGCGGAATTGATTTGGGGTGAAGCTTCCGGCCTCTCCCAACAGGTTCAATGCTTCTTGCCACAGCTCAGCTTGCCTTGGCGCAGCTTTGTCAAAACTTACCCGACAGATCTACAGTTATCATTTCAAATTTGAACTCTGCACTGTCTTAACCTTTGAGCATCTTTCTTCCGGTCTTAAAATGGTGACACAGTTGGTTCCTTTGTGGAATGGGTGCTGTAGAAGATCTTTCCAGCAGAACATAGACCCAACATCTTTTGCTTTTTGCACTTGCAACACCATGGCACCCCGACCACGAATACAAGTACCACGATGTTAATTAAATATCCGCCGACCCCGGCAGACGCAAGGGGGAGCGCGCCAGGGAATAATACTTTTGACTCTTGTTTCGCACTACTACCGCAGCGGGCGCGGCAGCAGCAACAGCAGGAGAAGTAAAGCCGGCCTCCGGGTAGCTTGTTATTGCGAATGATTTCGCGTCATTTTTGGCACGAAATTAGGTGGTGTTTTGCTGTTTCGAGTGGGTTTCGAAAAAGATGTCTTGCTGTTGGTTTCTTGCCTTGGAGGCTGGTCCGGCAGCGCCGATTTTCTGTTCAGTTTCTAGGGCTTCAAAAGCGGCAGCGCCGATTTTCTGTTCTGCTTCTAGGGTTTCAGAAGCAACGTTAGAGACTTTTTTGGTGGGATTCTCGGATTATAGTTCGTCCTTCAAGGCCATGGTGTTTCCCCGTCCGGCAGCGCCGATTTTCTGTTCTGTTTCTAGGGTTTCAGAAGCAACGTTAGAGACTTTTTTGGTGGGATTCTCGGACTATAGGTCGTCCTTCAGGGCCATGGTGTTTCCCCGTCCGGCAGCGCCGATTTTCTGTTCTGTTTCTAGGGTTTCAGAAGCAACGTTAGAGACTTTTTTGGTGGGATTCTCGGACTAGTTCGTCCTTCAGGGCCATGGTGTTTCCCCGTCCGGCAGCGCCGATTTTCTGTTCTGTTTCTAGGGTGTCAGAAGCAACGTTAAAGAGTTTTTTGGTGGGATTCTCGGACTAGTTCGTCCTTCAGGGCCATGGTGTTTCCCCGTCCGGCAGCGCCGATTTTCTGTTCTGTTTCTAGGGTTTCAGAAGCAACGTTAGAGACTTTTTTGGTGGGATTCTCGGACTAGTTCGTCCTTCAGGGCCATGGTGTTTCCCCGTCCGGCAGCGCCGATTTTCTGTTCTGTTTCTAGGGTTTCAGAAGCAACGTTAGAGACTTTTTTGGTGGGATTCTCGGACTAGTTCGTCCTTCAGGGCCATGGTGTTTCCCCGTCCGGCAGCGCCGATTTTCTGTTCTGTTTCTAGGGTTTCAGAAGCAACGTTAGAGACTTTTTTGGTGGGATTCTCGGATAGTTCGTCCTTCAGGGCCATGGTGTTTCCCCGTCCGGCAGCGCCGATTTTCTGTTCTGTTTCTAGGGTTTCAGAAGCAACGTTAGAGACTTTTTTGGTGGGATTCTCGGACTAGTTCGTCCTTCAGGGCCATGGTGTTTCCCCGTCCGGCAGCGCCGATTTTCTGTTCTGTTTCTAGGGTTTCAGAAGCAACGTTAGAGACTTTTTTGGTGGGATTCTCGGACTAGTTCGTCCTTCAGGGCCATGGTGTTTCCCCGTCCGGCAGCGCCGATTTTCTGTTCTGTTTCTAGGGTTTCAGAAG